GGGGGGGGTGTGACGGCGACACATTAACCCCCTCCCTGCCCTGCAGCTTCCAGAACCTGGGCATCCAGTGTGTGAAGAAACGGGAACTGGAAGAGGCTGTGGCCCAGCGCATCCGCACCAACAACAACCCCTTCAATGGTGAGTGGGGGAGCACTGGGCGTGCATGGGGGTGCCTCAGAGCCTGTGTCCTGACCCTTGAATTTGTGGGAGCCAGGGTTTGAGCCTGGGCACTGCCCCTTTAATTTGAACGGGTTAGAACAGAGGTACTACCTACCCCTTTAACTGGAAGGAAGCTTTGAGCTTTACTTGGGGGTGGAGATAGAGCGCAGGCCCCACCCCTTTTACTGCAGAGTGGGGGGGCTCCCCGGGGTGGGATCTGTCCCTGGTGGCCTGTTGATGTGCATGGGGGGCTGTCTCATCCATGTGTCGTTGCCCCTCTACAGCGCTAATGAGCAGGAATCCTGGTTTTCTCCGTTTAAAAATGGCAAATTCTCCGATTAACACCCCCACCCCCAAATCTGTGATTAAAATGAAAGTCCCCTGCATGTGCAGGTGTCAGTGGGATGCAGGGTTTTATTGTGGGGGGTGGGGCCGGCCCCCCGCCATAGCGCACGCTGCCGGAGGAGGCATGGGGGCAGCTGCGCGTTCAGGCTCCCCGGCCTGCTGCCCTCCCCCCTGGGCACGGCAGGGCAGAGCGGGGCTGGGAAGCTCAGTGCTGCTGCGGCTGGGTGCCCTCTGCTCTGCCCCCCGCTGCTGCCGGGGGTGGGGGGCAGGGGGCGCCTCGCCATGACGGTGCGGGGCTCCCAGCAGCAGCAGACCGAGCTCGCCCGCCCCACTCTGCCCTGCCCTGGCTGCCAGGTGCTGGGGGGCACAGCAGGGCAGGGAGCCCCCACCCTGCGCACAAAAGTGGGATAACCAGGATCCCTGCTGATGAGTCTGTCCATGGTGGGGGGGGCCTAACTGTGAGAGGCGGGGCCTATCCACAGAGGGCAGGGCCTCACCCATGTGTCCTTGCCCCCACAGTGTCACTGGAGGAGAAGGGCGAGTACGACCTGAACGCCGTGCGCCTCTGCTTCCAGGTGTGGGTGCAGGATCCAGCCGGCACTGGGCACCTCATGCTCTTGCCCCTCATTGTCTCCCAGCCTATCTACGACAACCGTGAGCCTGGGGGCGGGGCTAGGAGGCCTGGGGGTGGGGCTGGAGCTGGTGGGGGAGGAACTAGAGTTAGTTGGGACAGAGTTGGATGGGGTGGTCTGAGACCCAGGGGGGGGGGCTTG